GGTGAGTCTCCCCAACCGCGATTGCCGGCGACCGGGTAAGTAACAAAAAACGGAGGGCGTACTATTACACCCTGCGGCGTTTAGAGACACTTAGAATAGGGCGTAATAGTACGCCCTCCGGTTTTAAGGGGTTAACCCATCATTTACGTGGCTTGCCCGCCTATAAAAGTTTAAAACTAACCTTATTTCCAGTGCCGCGCGGGTCTGACTGTGCTGGCCCCGCCCCCTTTTGACATCATCAAAATGGCCAATTTTTAGCCAATCTAATGCTTAACCATAGGGAAAGCATTGGATTGGCTAAACTCAGCACGGGCAGGACCAAATGCCATTTTGGACAATCAGGACCTCCTCAGAGAGATGCATTGAATCAATCCATCTCTAAGAGGAAAATTCAGCGTCTCCATACAGAGCATGGGGACACTGAACGGCAAGGCATCTTTCTGTGCAGCACTGCCCCAGGAAGCACCTCCAGTGGCCATCTAAGCCGTGTTTACATGAAAATGCCTGAAGGTAATGATTATACTAACCAGAACAACTACATTAAGCTGTATTTGTTCTGGTGACTATAGTGTCTTTTTAATATTTCCAGTCAGTAAAACAATTGTGGCGTGCCATCTGTAATGAAGAGTGTTAAAGGGAAATGGTGGGTGTTGTGGTTCATACTTCTTTTTTAAAATTAATTATATAGATATTGCACTAAAAAAGAGATGCTCCAATTAGGAGAATCGGATTCTGGTCAACAGTTTAATCTTACCCCATAAGATCTGTTCAACAGAGGTGTCGACAGACATAAACATTTTAGAGCCGATGCTGATTATTGGTGACCTTTCGTATGGATAGCCTATAACTGGTACAGATATTCTGTTAATTTATATTTTTGAAGAAATAAATAATTTCTACACAAATCAGCCATTAACTGAACTTCATTATTAAGAGCCTATGTGATAATTTTTTAAGATATACTGTTATGTGATGTGTTAATTGTATGTACTTTGATTAAAATATTGTTAGCTGGAGAAATGTTTTTTTTGACTATTTAAATTCTGCCCCAGCTCTATTGGCTGTTTACAGCTCAGGGACAATAGCTCTAGTTTCTGCAGAATCAACTCTACCTTTCATTATTCTGAGGCTGGAACATGGGTTGTGGTGATTCAGTTTCACAATGGGCCATATCATGTCAAGCCCACCACTGTGTTTTATCACATTAATTTTGCATTATATATATTTACAATGCTCTTACAACAGTTATTTATATTCACTTTAGCTCATTTAGCACTATTTAAGATGTCTCCGATGTTGGAATTAGTTTAAATGCGCATGTGTATTAGGTAATCTATGAAGAGCATTGAGGACCTAATACACATATAGAACTATGGCTCCTCCGTAACGTCACGGGAGGTGGGAAGGTGAACAGCACAGAGGAAGTCTTGGCACTGGAAAAGGGTAAGTAAAACTGATTTAAAAAAACATTTATATCGAACGGGTGGGAGAGGAACTGAAATAAAATGGGGACAGAAAAATTGTAGCGTTAGGAATACAGATTTGTATACCTAACACTATATAGTGCCCCTTTAAATGAGCATCACAGCTGTCTGAGACACTTCCTGGTTTGGTGAGAGTTAACTGCAGGAGTGTTTATTTTTATTATTAATTCTGTTACATATTGTAATCCATTCTTTAGATGGGTTTACCTGGCATGCCATTGGTCATTAAGGTGTTAAACTAATTCTATTCTATGAAAATGCTTTTTATGAAATGTGTACATTTGTAATGTATATGGATAAACGCTGTGAATATTACATTAGCATCTTTATGAGATTAGAATTGCGTGTCTATACGTTTGGTGCAGACCTTACTGTGGCAATAATTTGAAATGTATTCTAGGATTCCTGCTCAGCCAAGCATGGCATACAGATTATAATGATACAAATCAATGGATCCTAGTTTGTATTTCAAGATTCTGATAATGGACAGAAAACAATGATTTTCTCATTTGCATATGCCATATCTGGTCTTTTCATACAAGCAGTAAGTAATCATGCCTCTGTTTCTGAAATTACCAATGCAAAAACTCTTACTTCGGTATTAGTGACATTGACTCTTCCCATGGATATTCCATCCAGGAGCAGATTCAATGTCACTAATACGGAAGTATACGGAAGACGTCAGAATATGGGCTGTTGCACTCAGTCAGTGAAGTTTGTCAATAGGGACAAAATGTGTATATCTAATACGGAAAGGGATTTTCCACTGTAGCTATATCTAAAGAAAGGGCTGGACCTGTGGTGCCTGTTCCACCTTTGTAAGTGTCAAACTTATCATGGCACATTGTGGAGTATATAGGTAAGAGGAAGATGAGTACCTTGACTTTATCAATTTCTTGTTACGGAGTTGTAATTTTTAAAATATAACAGATACTCTATATACACCCCATGGTATAAAAACTTGTTTATCACGACCATGGACCACCGGTTGTTAATCTTGCCCTTCTGATGAGTTAATTTCTTTGCAATCATAACATGTGCTACTATGTTGTTTTAGGTTGGTCTCTTTGTGGAAGGGGTGGGGTATATTAATCTGTCAATGAAATTCGTATGGCTTTATTTAACTTTTTAAGGACTTTCCTCTTTCCTGCTTTCTAGAATTGCTGACATTTGCTGTAAAAATATGTTTGTTTTTTTAAATCTAGAGCAGAAAACATTCTCTCACAGTACTGCCAGTCAAACAATGGATATTGTATGTATGGAAATGTATAGGAGAGGACTTTTAATGGGGCAAGCTATTACAATATTCTGGAAGGCTTTTTAAAATGAATAGAGACCTATCTGTTATATATTTTGGGAAATGATGGAACCTCTGATGGAACCATTATCTTTACCCTAGGTAGAAGTCAATGGTACAGAACCTTTTTACGTGGCAGCCATTTGTGGAATTACACCAAGTTGAAGGATCTATACCTTGAAGACTAATCGTAACTCCATGGCTATTAATTACCACAACTTCAGGTAAGATTATTACTAGTTTTCCTATCGCTTAACAAAGTAAAAACCCAAGTATAAACTATTAAACTACACATCCCGGTTAAGTATTTTCATACTTCTGAAAAATGCAGAAACACTTCTAAATCAAATGTGGCTGACTCATTGATTGTTACATTTATTCACAAAAAAGTAATGTGTTTCTACTCAAGATATCGTAATATTGACATGATGACGTGACTAAACATTGTGCCCAGATCCTTAGAATTCCCTATTAGGGTTTAATTAATTGGCTGAGAGCGTCAGCTGACACTGTCAGCCAGTGAACGGTGTCCAAAGCTTTACAAAATGTATATTGCTAAAGAAAAATTGGTACATTCATTTTACATTATATTATAATTAGAAGACCAGAAGCAGTATGTGTGCCCATGTGCAGTTTGACTTTTTACAGTGGCACAATGGCAGGGGATTCCTGGCCCCATAAACGCCATACTTTAGTGGTTCTGGTGCTTGGGAGTTCCTTTTAACCAGCTAATTGAATTTATGACATTGGTATTTGCCTGGTGCCTCCTTAATGAATAGTGGCATATTGTAGGAGACAATACATGATAGTTATGCTGATTACAGCTGCAGTGAAATACGTAGCTCCCTGACAATCAATACCGTGTTTCCCCTAAAATAAGCCCTAGCTGGATTATCGGGGTGGGCTGCAATATAAGCCCTACCCCGAAAATAAGACCTAGGCAGGGCCGGCGGCTGCTGGCCCTTTAAATGCCTCAGCCGCCTGAGCGCTCTATAGAGAGCGTTCATACGGCTGCCGCAATGCCTGACCTCCTCTTCCCTGTAGCGTGGCCGAGCTCCTCTCTGGTCCGCGACCCGCCCGGACTGACAGGAAGTGCACACTGGGTGTGCACTTCCTTTCAGTCCGGCCGGGTCGCGGACCGGAGAGGAGCTCGGCCACGCTACAGGGGAGGTGAGGAGAAGATTGGAGGGAGGGGGGAAGAGTATTACAGGGAGGGAGGGAGAGGGGATAATATTACAGGGAGGGAGGGGGGATAATATTACTGGGAGGGAGGGGGATAATATTACTGGGAGGGAGGGGATATATTACTGGGAGGGAGGGGGATAATATTACAGGGAGGGAGGGAGGGAGGGAGAGTATTACAGGGAGGGAGGGGGATAATATTGGGAGGAGGAGAGGAGAGTATTACAGGAGGAGGGATAATATTACTGGGAGGGAGGGAGAGTATTACAGAGAGGGAGACAGGGAGGGAGGGGGAGAGGGAGGGAGGAGGTGGGGGAGGGAATATTACACAGGGGGAGGAGGGAGAGTATTGCAAGGGGAGGGAGGGAGAGTATTACAGGGAGGTAGGGGAGGAGGGAAGTATAGGGGGAGGGAGGGAATATTACAGGGAGGGAGGTGGGAAAGTATTACAGGGAGGGAGGGGGGAGAGTATTACAGGGAGGGAGGGGAGAATATTACAGGGAGGGGGAGGTGAGGGTCTCTGGGGGGGTTACACAGCGCGGACACTGGCTGACAGACTGGCTCTAAGCCCTACCCTGAAAATAAGCCCTAGTGTTTTTTTTGTGACTAAAATTAATATAAGACCCGGTCTTATTTTCGGAGAAACACGGGTAATACAGTAGATAAGAGGAGAGGATAAGGGCATACATTAAAATGTTTAGCAATAGATTGTCGTCCTTGTTTCCTTGTGTGCCATCTCACAAAAGAAACCATTATGACTATTGCTGTTTGGCAGTTAGTACATTATTCATATTATGATTGAGGTTTCCAGATAAGGAGCGTGCCCTTTCAAATGATCTCGAATTTACATAATGCTACATTTCGGTGTCTATTCTTTTACACAAATGTTGCAGGATTCTGTTATACTGCTTGGATGATGGGGTTTTTTCAGCACAATATTTGCTGAAATTAGTTTATTGAAACAGAATATGCTATAGTAATGCAATAGCTGTGTTATATTTAGTTTTGCTTTGTCTCGCATACCTTTCTTGTATTGTTTGGGGCTTTTTAAATTAAAATGATAAACCTGTTAAAATAAGTGGAACCTTTTAGCCTAGCTATTTATGAGTAAATATTTGGCAAGAGAAAGAAGAAAGGATTATGTGACACTCCAGTTCAGCAGTTGGGACACATTTTTTATTCAATTACCTAAAGGTGAAATTTGTTGAGACAAAATGTATTTTTTGTGTATTCTACCAGATCAGTGGTTCCCAACCCAGTCCTCAAGTATCCCTCAAGTATTTATGGATTACCCAGCTGTGTCTAAGGTGTTTTTAGAAAGAAAAAAACCAAAAACATGGTAATCCCTAAATCCTGGACTGTTAGGGGGTACTTGAGGACTGGGTTGGGAACCCCTGTACTAGATGATGGGTAGGCAACCTTTGGCACCTCAGATGTTGTGGACTATATCTCTCATAATCAGTGCCTGACTGGGAAATAAATTTGGCGCGGGCATTTTCTAAACACCCTTGTTGGCCATAACAGCCATAATGCTAGCAGACCATCAGTGGAGATGTAGTCCACAATATCTGGAGTGCCGAAGGTTGCCGACCCTGATGTTCTATGATTTTCAAACGCTTTAGACAAATTAACTTTTTTGCTTCCTAATTGATGAATAATGCCTTGCAGAGGGGAATACCGACAGTAAAGTGAGGATTACTGTATGTGAATATTTCTTGTTAGTTTTCTAATGCTCAGATGTCGGACTCCACCGTGGATTATTGACTGGTTGCTGTAGCAAAGCAAGCACTCTTCCAAGTTGCTTTTTTTTATACACCAAGGTCACACATTTCAATTATACTACTTGTCCTCTCTCACTTAGGGTATGGGATATTGCGGTGTATGTATGTAATATGTTTAATATACACCATGGTTTGTGTTTTGCTTAAATACATTTTTTTTTTAGAATGAGTCTACTTTAATAAAATAGACTTTCATATGCTGTCGATTCAAAACAGTCGACTTTCATATGCTGTAAAAATATGAGCTCATTGCAGCATTGTTATAGAGAAAGAAAACACATATTTGAACAGTTATTTAAACCATTTTGTAGCAGTGATTAGTCAAGTTTTTACAATTTCCCAAGTAACAGAAAACAAACACATTATGGAATGTTGATTACATCATAGAAGAGCATGATTAGTTTGACATTTTTATGGGGATGCATGTATCATTACTTTATTTAGGGTTAAGAAAAAACAAAAAAAACAAGTAAAGTAGGACTTCTTGTATGTAAAAAAAGAGGACATTTTAATATATATATTTACTAAAAAAGATAGATGAACTTGTCACTGGTTGAGTGCCGTGGATGTGAACGAGGACTTGGGATTTGTGATAGCATCCCTTTGGCTATTCTCCATATAATGGTATTTGTGCAGAATGAAATATAGAGATGTGTACATGATTAGAGTGCATACAAATCAAAACAAACCCTTTATTCTATAAAGTTAATTACATTTTTGATGGGTCTTCCTCAGGGTGGATTTAATTTAAATCTCAAGTCTGTAAAATTGGGTTTAAATCATGATTTAAAAAAATAAAGACCCATTCTTGTTGGTTGTTATACTATTTAATATTTACAACCAGATGAAGATTTAAGATTTAGAATAATACATTTTCCGGTAATTTTAACAGTTATAGCAATTGTAATATAGGAGGAAACACTATCAAGACTTCAATATCAATAAGTACGAATATCAGATAAGGTGCTCACCATGACTATGACACAGGGAATGAAACACAATACAATTAAAAGACATAAATAGTGTTAGTCCAAGAATTATGTAAATAAAAATAAATATTCAAAACAAGCAAATCAAAATCCACACAGCACATCAATCAGAGAAAGATTAAAGGAACACCGCAGGGTTAGGAATACAAAGCTGTATTCCTAACGCTATAGTGTCGCTCTGAGCATGGTCACCCCCGGCCATGTAAAAATTTCAAACACTTACCTGATTCCAGTGTCGATGTACCTCGTCACTTGGTCAGGCTCCTCCTCCTCCAATGTCAGCCAGTGGGGGAACCTAATGCACATGGTGCTTGAGTGTCGATCGCTGCACATGCATTAGGTCTTCTCCATCCAAGATCATTATCTAATGCTCAGTGCTTTCCTTTGGGGTTTTTCAACACACTTTATCATTTTACACAATTTCTTGACTATAGAAATGTAGCAGGAATCTTGAACTGTGCCCTTCCAGATGTTGATAGCCTACAACTCCCAGAATTATTTGAATGCAGTAGACAGTAGTAGGATCATATTAGTTGTAGCTCAGAAAAATGTAGAAGGGCATAGTTTGAAATGCCTAATCTACAGGAGAGTCAACATTAAGATTAAATGCATTTTATAGCCTCTATTGTTTTCTTATTGACTAATCTAGATTGCATACTTAAAATCAATTTCCAGTGACTGGCATGAAGAATACCAGGTTCTGCATTTTATCTGAGTCTTTTTTGTTTTTAATTAAAAAATTTTTTTTTAATGTTGCTGTCATTTTAAATTTGTGATGTATTTATCTAAAAGCCCCTCTCTTGTTCAACTGAAGTGAGTGCACAAAACATGTAGTAGCTTTCAGTGGGGGGAAAAAAAACTGCTGTACAAAAGAAATATAAATGAACTTATTTAGTCCATCTCACTCTGTGTAGTTCTTTCTTCCTCTATATTCCCATGGCTTGAAAGTTGCTGGTGGGTGACAAACGTGCGATAGCAACTTGCAGGGCAGCAAAGGATAGAAAATCTCAGCGCTAGGGTACTCTGTGCTATTGTACGGTATCTTTTTTGTTGTTGTTGTTAATCTGTTTATTTTGAAATTTTATCAAGCAAGTGGAGCACTTTTTGGGCACGCAGGCCCATCTCAACATAATGACATAAAATAGTAGTAACATAGAAACAGTGCTTATACGTATTCTGAACATATTTGTATACCATCGTAATCCTATTCCAGTATCAGTTTACATTGTACGGTATCTAATTTACTAATATCCTTCATACTTTCATGTTACTATGTTATCGCCAGAAAAATAGGAGGCTTGGGTAGAACCTTTCTTGTTCCCAAACTCACATCAATGGCAATATATTAAACAATATGCATATTAACAGTATTTGAATCTGTTTATTTAAGGTCGCTGTGCTGTATAGCCAATGAAGGCTGGTTTGCTATTGCCTAACGTTAGAGTGTTTTTATCATAGTATCTAAAAATTGTAAAGCATAATTTGAGTATGCTGCATTCACCTTTTTACCTTTTAATTTATGTGTCCGGAAACATTTTGATATATAAATAGATCATTAGTTTAATAAATAATATTTTTAAACATCTTTAAAAATGTGAAAAATAAGGCATCATAAACTATAATTGATTGCTTAATGATATATAGAGCAGAGAATGTGTTATGTTATATACATATTGCAGTGATTTTATAGCAGTAGTTAACAACCTATTATGATTTAGAAATTAAATAGACATATTACGGTGCATACCTGTTGGTTTACATTAATCAGGGTGTAGGCGCAATAAACTACATTATTGCATATACACTGCTCAAAAAATAAAGGGAACACTTAAACAACACAATGTAACTCCAAGTCAGTCACACTTCGGTGAAATCAAACTGTCCACTTCGGAAGCAACACTGAGTGACAATCAATTCACATGCTGTTGTGCAAAAGGGATAGACAACAGGTGGAAATTATAGGCAATTAGCAAGACACCCCCAATAAAGGAGTGGTTCTGCAGGTGGTGACCACAGACCACTTCTCAGTTCCTATGCTTCCTGGCTGATGTTTTGGTCACTTTTGAATGCTGGCAGTGCTTTCACTCTAGTGGTAGCATGAGACGGAGTGTACAACCCACACAAGTGGCTCAGGTAGTGCAGCTCATCCAGGATGGCACATCAATGCGAGCTGTGGCAAGAAGGTTTGCTATGTCTGTCAGCGTAGTGTCCAGAGCATGGAGGTGCTACCAGGAGACAGACCAGTACATCAGGATATGTGGAGGAGGCCGTAGGAGGGCAACAACCCAGCAGCAGGTCCGCTACCTCCGCCTTTGTGCAAGGAGGAACAGGAGGAGCACTGCCAGAGCCATGCAAAATTACTTCCAGCAGGCCACAAATGTGAATGTGTCTGCTCAAACGGTCAGAAACAGACTCCATGAGGGTTGTATGAGGGCCCGACATCCACAGGTGGGGGTTGTGCTTACAGCCCAACACCGTGCAGGAAGTTTGGCATTTGCCAGAGAACACCAAGATTGGCAAATTCGCCACTGGCACCCTGTGCTCTTCACAGATGAAAGCAGGTTCACACTGAGCACATGTGAGTCTGGAGACACCGTGGAGAACGTTCTCCTGCCTGCAACATCCTCCAGCATGACCGCTTTGGCAGTGGGTCAAATATGGTGTGGGGTGGCATTTTTTGGGGGGGCCGCACAGCCCTCCATGTGCTCGCCAAAGATAGCCTGACTGCCATTAGGTACCGAGATGAGATCCTCAGACCCCTTGTGAGACAAAATGCTGGTGCGGTGGCCCTGGGTTTCTCCTAATGCAAGACAATGCTAGACCTCATGTGGCTGTAGTGTGTCAGCAGTTCCTGCAAGACAAAGGCATTGATGCTGTGGACTGGCCCGCCCATTCCCCAGACCTGAATCCAATTGAGCACATCTGGGACATTATGTCTCACTCCATCCACCAACGTCACATTTCACCACAGACTGTCCAGGAGTTGGCAGATGCTTTAGTCCAGGTCTTGGTAGGAGATCCCTCAGGAAGCCATCCGCCACCTCATCAGGAGCATGCACAGTAGTTGTAGGGAGGTCATACAGGCACGTGGAGGCCACACACACTACTGAGCCTAATTTTGACTTGTTTTAAGGACATTACATCAAAGTTGGATCAGCCTGTAGTGTGTTTTTCCACTTTCATTTTGAGTGTGACTCCAAATCCAGACCTCCATGGGTTGAAACATTTGATTTCCATTTTTTTATGTTTGTGTGATTTTGTTGTCAGCACATTCAACTATGTAAAGAACAAAGTATTTCAGAAGAAAATTTAATTTATTTAGATCTAGCATGTGTTATTTTTGTGTTCCCTTTATTTTTTTGAGCAGTGTATAAGTTTTAAGAGTCATGGCTTCCTAGCCATTGCGGTTTGTCAAGACTAGATATATAGCTAAGAGTAGTCATTAATAAGGGCTACAGTTCATGAAACGCAATCCAATGTTGTAAGTTCAGTATGTTGGTGTTACTATTAAGTTTCCAGAACAGTCTGATATTGTACTGATTAAATACAAACAAATGTTTTTATTACCAAAAATGTGTGATCTAGCTAACATGATTGGTATTAGAATAGATGTATTTATATATGTTTTGTTATTGTGGGCCGCCACTCAATCAATTAAAAAAAATCCTTTGTATTTCTACATTTTAATAAAATCCGTTCCTTCATATTATGTATATATTTTATTATGGTATTATTTATATATAACAACGGAGCTTGGCAATCAATGTCTCCCAGCCACAGTAAACATCTATGAAAGAGCACATTCACAGGACTTGTTGTAATATCAGAAAGCTGTCTGCTCAGAGTTACTGCAGTAACATCATATAGTCAGTGTTTTAGTCCTACATTTGGACTCTTTTTAAAAGATATCTTGAATGGGTGTTAACGGTAAAATAATGTAGACCATCAGTCATCTTATATATAAAAATATGTACAAAGGATCAGCGCTAATATACTAATCTTACAGAGATAAATATAAGGCAGCACACCTAAACAATAGGGCTCCCTCACAGGCCATATAGAGTAGACAAAACTAAAAAAGGTGAAGGGGAAGCGGCGCCACAGGTGAAATAAAATATAAATAAATAAACCTGATTATAAACTATACAAGCACATATACAATACACTATATAAGAGAAAATACATACAAGAGAAAAAAACAAAAAGAGTTGGAATATGGATAATGAATAATAATCAAGAGTCCAAAGATTAAGTCCAAAAGAGTCTATGCCTGATAAACGCAGCAAAAAAAGACCAAATAAATCCTTGTATAAGAAGTCAATCACAATCTTGTCAGGGGAAGTATTCCTCAATAAGGTATGGGCATGGGTTATTCATGAAATCCATATGAAAAAATAAAAAGACAGCAAATAATTGTGCAGTAAATCCCAATAGGTACTAAGTACTATTTTTAGAGGTTTATATGGTCCTACTCACGTTTTCCAGAGCTGTAAGACTAGCTCTAGTGTGGATGGCATATAGTGGTACAATCCTCACTTATGGGATACGTGAAGTTTTGTAGTGGATGGATATCTTGTTGGTATAAGGACCATATGAAATGTAAAAGAAACAATAATAGTGCGTACTGTATAAAAGCGGTTACTCACATTTTATTGAGCAGGCAGACTGGATATTGGGATATACTGCACCATTATTTGCTGTCTTTTTATTTTTTCATATGGATTTCACGAATAACCCATGCCCATACCTTATTGAGGAATACTTCCCCTAACAAGATTGTGATTGACTTCTTATACAAGGTTTTATTTGGACTTTTTTTGCTGCATTTATCAGGCATAGACTCTTTTGGACTTACTCTTTAGACTCTTGATTATTATTCATTATCCATATTCCAACTCTTTGTTTTTTTATCTTGTATGTATTTTCTCTTATATTGTGTCTTGTATATGTGCTTGTATAGTTTATAATCAAGTTTTTTTTTTAAATGTATTTATATTTTATTTCACCTGTGGCGCAGCATCCCCCTTCATCTTATATATAATCCTCTGTATTGTTTGCATATATGTCTCTAATATCCACATGAAGCTTCTAATATTGATGAAAGAAATGGTTAAATGTTGTGGGTCCAAAATATCAGCCTGAACATATGGGGCAGCATATTTCCCACATATGTTCAAATGAAGTTGAAATGCTAGACCCACCATTTTTCTTTTTTGTCTGCGTGTTTCCTTTATTCCATAATCATTAACCAATCATTAAATTAAAATCTTTCTTCTGGACCTTTTGTAATATGGCTTTATTTTATTGTGCAGACTACTGTATAAAATATTTATATATCATATAATAGTCTGCACAAGATATTTGTTGGTTAAAATAAATATCTATATTTGGGGTTATTAGTTGAAGATTTACGTATTTTTTTACTTTGTCTTGATAAAGTTCTGTCTGTGTGTCAGACCTACATTGAAGACCCGTTAGTGGTCTCCTTCTTGGGATTATGTGAATTGCCAGAGATTGCACCGTGGGCATAAAGATTTAAAGGAAAGTCTGAGTGCATGGTTTCATATATGTATGTGTATATGTATGTATGTGTGTGTGTGTGTATATATATATATATAAATATGCACATACTCTATACACTAAGCATTCTACCTCTACCTTTGACTGTGGTTCTTGTTCAAATTGTGCTGTATGTGCATATTACTTTCAGGACATCATAAACATCACATTTAATTTACAATAAACAAATATTAAAGATTTAATTTCCATTAAACCGGTATTGCAGCTGCATATTAACATTTTGACCTTGAATCCGCTCTTTTTTTATATCTTGAATACATGTTGTATTAGAATGCCACAATGCTGATGTATCCCATGACCTATCCTAACCTAATAATATTAACCCTCGCCTTGGCAAATTGATCCTCTAAGGCTCTCTGCCATTACAATTATTTTTCTTTTGTTTAAAAAAAAAGAATTTCCTTTATTTGACCAGCCTGATTTTATTTTGCTGATAATGCAGAAAAAAGAATTGTAACATTGCACAGTGCACAGTGGCTTAAAACTTGAATAGTGCATTAGAATCAAGGATCCATGTACAATTTTGTTAAATGTACTTTTGTCTATTGTTAAAAAATGAATGTATGCAATAAATATTTAGATACATTTGTAAAAGCATAATTATTTAGAAGATTCTTCACTTTACAAAACAGAAATGTATTACAAAATTATGGAATATAATTCTGACAATATATAATATATATATACTGGACTGATGTCAGTACTGTCAGTGATCATCTGACAATTCTAATGCAAACATAACAATCTAAAAAATACAAGGAAAACTTGACTTGTATCAAGAATAAAACTTGATAACTTAACAGCTTAAATATTATTCAATATCAGAAATTATAATAATAATAACTACTTTAAAAATGCTATATCTAAATAACTACTTAAAAAATGCATATGCAATGCTATAGTGGTAATATGAAAAGTTATCATAACGCGATTACTAAAAACAAAATTGTTGTTTGAAATCGATACGCCAGAAATGTCTGTGTGATAATTAGATTTTATGTGTTCTCTTACAGGTCTTTTTTAGTTGGCTTTATAGCAGAAACTGAAAGAAAGAATAAAAAATAATGCCTTAATAAAAAATATTAACTATACCAATACATAGTACTTTCAAACTTAGACTGAAACCCAGTGCAATGAAATTTGCAGTTAAAGAATAGGTAAATAATATAATATATATAACTTTACAGCTGTTGGTCATTACCGAGGAAAAAGCATACACAAGACATGTAATTATAAGACATTTCCAGATTAAGAGGGATAAATACTATGTGGAAATAATTAAAGCTACCGATATTTGACTAAACTATGACTGAAAACAAACTACAACTTTTTTTTAATGACAAGCATAAAAAACCAATGGTCTCATTTAGCCAACTAAATAATTCTGAATGACAGAAATAAATAAAACCGGATACTACTTTCACTTTCAATACGTTGTTAATATAAAGCTTTAAGTAAAAAATTGGTATGCAATCAGACTACTGTTAAAATTATAACAGATTTTCAATCATATTTCTACTATAAAAAGCTGTCCTTATGCAAATACGGTGGTGATTAAGTATTATTTCTCATGTGCATTTGCAATTTTCTACAACATTGTCAGTACAGATATGGGCAACAAACAATTTAGTGATTAAAGCCTGTGTAAAACACCTGTGTTAAAAAAATCACACAAAAGACAATAACATAAGTGGATGAATGGAAACATAAGGCTTCTTGTCACATTTTTACCCCAGTCCCTAAAGTTCTGTTCTCGACTAAATATTGGCGAGTGAAGAAAAATAATTCTACTCCATGTATGAAGTAAGTGCAGGTAGTGTTTTAGACAATGCTATTTTTAATGCGTATGCGCGCAATCGGTATACGTCGGTGTGTGTCAGTATAACCATATATCGTAACCAGGACTTTATAAAATCATTGTCTTCCTTCTGTTCATGTGTTAGCCACTTTGAGGCTACATCTCCGTTGGCTCGAAATTCTTACTTTCTGCCATGGTGCCTGGGGCACATTCTCCCGGTGTACCCAAATGCAAATGTTAATTATATGGTTCTGCAGGCAAATATTTTTTATATATTTTTAGGTTAAAGTAAAATCAACATAACATTGAGATAAACGTTGAGATATGTTTTTTAATCCACTAAGTTTATTTGTGTTTATAGGAATGTAAGTAGTTGTAAGACTAGGTTCTTTCACATGAAATTCATATCCCCATGATATTTGGATACTGTTTACATTCTAGAGCGAGAAGGTAGAGCATATAGTATCAGTACAATATTTAAAAAAAAAAAAAAAAATTTGAAACAAATACAAATATTGATCAAGCAATGGATTACCAAAACATGGTATATCTTCACAATTGTAAAATTACTATTAAGGTTAATAAGACAATGTGGATGTTATATATTTAACGTTTAGATGGTTGGAGTCTATGCATGATGATGATAAACAGCTCATACTGTCAGCTGCAATATAATTCCCCTTTTCGCAGCCCGTACAGTATATCCAAATAAGTGCAAACACAAAAGATCAGAGCGTCCTGTCTGCAGAGTGTGCCACTCCCCACGTCGTCATCGCACTCAGAAAGAACAACAAGTCAGTGAAAAGTAACATTTCTAATGTCTGTTTAGAATCACAGTGATAGGGAAGTGGTTTATATGTGATATGAAATCTTAAAAATACCTGTTTGTACTATTTGTGTAGATAGTTTACAGTATTGGGTGGGTGGGGAATCTTGAATCAGTGAGCACAGTGGACTTTTTGGTTCAGCTGGGAATCCTAATTACGGATAAATATTAAAGAGACAGTTTATTTAGTTCTCTGCTGTGACAGCATTTTACTGCTTACGATAAGTTATACAATAAAGTAGCTGTGACACGCAAGAGATATTACCTAGATTGCTTACAACATATAGACTAGGCATGGCACCTGTGCTGTATGTAGAATGTTGAGGCTTTTCTACACTGTTTTGGCTGGTTTGTGCATGATCTCCTGCTATGGCAGGAATCCCACAAAGTCAGACACTGGAACGATAATCATAATAATAATAACAAAGTGTTTAACCAGGAAAGATACATTCAGATTACTCTGGTTTCCAGGCACGTCCTGGGGATGTTACTTTTGCCCAACATCCAGGGGATGTTACTATTACCAAATATAATCTATCTTCCTTGGGAGGATGAAGGGCTGAGTCAACCCTGCCCTTTATTAATGTGTCCTGTTCTGAAATGATAAAGTACTAAAATTGAAGTAATCACTATGAACTCCAGGGGAGCCAGTAGGGGCATTCCATTGGAGACTCCTCCCCTTTTACATCTTTGCAACACTAGAACAGGACACCGATAAATCTACAATGAAATGTGTGCTGAGATCTCCTGCTGCTTTTGAAAGATAGATTGATAAACTAGACTGGTGTATGAGCTTTGTAGGTACTGTAAGCTTATTTGAGCAGGGTTCACGTCAAGCACTTGACTATGCAAGAGCAGCAATTTGAGGAGCTTTAACAGTAATTATTTTTAAAATGTTAATTAAAAAATAAAAAAAAATCTATATATATATGTCAGAGCAGATTGTACAAGATTATTATTATTGGCATTTACATAGCGCCACCTTATTCTGCAGTGCTTTACAATATTATAAAGGGGAGAAATTAACAATAAACGAGAGAATTACAAAATGTTACAGAAAACAACTATAGTTTTCTGTTCACTTGTAAGTTAAATGTTGTTCTTACATTTGCAAGATCTTCATGGCCATGTTTGATTTGCCATTCATGTGTACTAGAAAAGCACAGGTGCCATTTTGGTTTCGGGGAATTTCTTTGCCCATCATGTCTAAATCGCATGTCACACATTTTAGAACTTGAGTAGTTTGTGTTTTACATTTCCTTACACCTTTAACCTTTTGGGTAATTATGAACTTCATGAAATTTGGATGAATATATCCCCCAAACAGAATGAGGTTACAAAATAGATTGTTACATCACCAATGTAGAGTTTCCACCTCAGCCAATTGACTTTTCTCAAAAAGAGGACTTGATGAATCTCGAAAGAGCTTGCACAGAAAGCATAATCACTACAATGAAGTGTTGTGGTGGTTAAAGTCCCATTTAACTGTACAGTGACAGTATTAAAGCATAATGATTGGATGATACTCAGTGAAGCTCTGTGGTTATGAATTATTGCTAAAATATTTCAGCCATAATTATATTTCTAAAATAAAACCTTATTATTTAATATTTGTTCCTATAATTGCCTCCAAAATCCAAGTATTATGAAGATTCCTGGGTATAAAATTCAAAGTGCAATTTGTTTGTGGCTGCATAAATGCAAAATCTCTTTAACCATACTTCCACCATCTGTAAAATGACTACATTGCCAAAAAAGAAATTAAATGGCATATAAGTATTTAAAGATAGCATATGTATACTATGATAAGATGTGCCAAAGATAACAATCTTCCTAATGCTTTGAACGTATACTGATGAATGATCTTGAAAATGACTGAAAATTAAAAAAATAAAATAAACACAATGCAAAATGGCTCTCTAAATGAAGTAGCATATAGTGTTAAAATGACTTGCAAAATTGGTAATTATCAGTTGAGATGCATTAGACTTCAACGTCATACCAATACTAGCACTTAGCATATTGTATAGAATACCGAGCAGACTTGCTACTTTACAGATATGATGGACCTTGTCTGTTTTAACAACTTTTCTTACAGTATCATTGAATAAAGTGCAGTATCTGACCACATTGACCGTTAAAAGTATTTGTTTTAAGCCATAGAAAGGATTGTCTGACTCAGTTTATATAGTTTGTTTCTACGTGATCATTTCCAGAGTAGTACTACATAGCTACTGCCAGTTTCAGTTCACAGCAGTTGACATATGAAGTTTTAATTCCAAGTAAATGGTGAACCACACCATCTCATTTATTACCTCTTGTTAACTGAATTATAAATTATTGGTTAAACAGACTGTTGGCGAAACAGTGTTAGCTAAACCTGCATTATTACTGACTCAAAATGATCTAACACTAAATAGGCCTCAATTTTAATATTTTTGAATAAGCTTTACAAATAATCACAATTTGTAAGAAAAAAATGTTTAAATGATTTATCTACAGAAGTCACTATTAAAGTATATGGGATTGTTTGTAGATAAATCACTTGCTAAGTTTTCCTAATAGATTGTGATCATTTGAAAAGCTTACCCAAAAATCTTAAAATGAGGCCTATGATATTTAATAATTATTGCTCGCCACCATACTGTTCTGATCTCTTCTAGAAAACCGTAGCATTTCTATAGTAGCTACAGGTACACAGAAGCCGAACTCCCACTGGGCTCTCTACGGTCCAGTTTTACTTATTGAGGAGTAGGCATAGTTGAGTCCAAGCACAGCCTGGTGCAGATTTGCCCCAAGTCTGTTTGCCTATAGACAATCAAGGCTGGAGTTCACCTATCTGTATTGCTCCCCCAGGAACCACCTCTAGTAGCCATCTGAGGAGTGGCTAGTGGAGATTTCCATATTAACATTACCTTTTCTCTGAAAAGAAAACGTTTACTGCAAAAAGCCTGCAGTGACTGACTATACTCACCAGAACAAATACAATAAGCTATAGTTGTTCTGGTGACTATAGTGTCGCTTTAATTTGACATGCATGACACACATATATATCACATTTACCTATTTACCCTAATCCGATATGAAGTACATTTAAGCAGCTTGTACATGTGACACACTGAAGCTGAACTCTGGATTATTCCCTTAGATGTGCACTGCTTGAAGGTGCTATGAGCTCTTTAAAGAAACACTCCAAGCTTCATAACTACTACAGCTCACTGCAATAGGTATGGTGCCAGGAGTACCCTTTTTGTTGTTTAGAAGTGGTTTCAGAAACACACTTGGGGGTTAAATTTTCCTCTTTGCAAGAACAGCTGTTTTGGAAAAATTCAGAGCAAAAAATTGACACACAATTTAGGCATTTAACAAAAATTCCACCTACCTAGGAATATATATATATTTTTTTAGCTTATGATTAATCCCATTAACATGTCTCTTATTCACTTAACTGGACGCTATCTTGTTATATCATGTTTCACATATAAGGCTCCACTTCTTTGTTTAAGTTTGTATTGCTATATAAAATATTAGGACATGTTTGTCATATTTTATGTAAGAAATCACATACTTAAAAGAGCTATTTTGTGATTCAGGATATGATATAGATCTAATATATCCCATTATCCAAATGTGAAATGTTCATGTACAGTGCTCTTCAGAACGTTCATGTAACATCTAGTGATTTTTAAGTATATATAAAATTTTGCTTGATAGTTATTAAGTGCTACTTATAATCCTTTTGAGTTATTTACTAAGTACTAAGGTATCAATATTTTTGTATAAGCTTTGCAAATGATTTCATATTTTTGCATAACCTTTTAAAATATTGTTTTGCAAAATATGAAAGTATGCAGAAAAATCAATATATCAAAAAAAACTTAAAAAATATGAAAAACATTTTTCACAATGCTAAATAATTTTAAAAGTTTCTTAAAAAATATAAAATAATTTAAAATGCTAATCAAAAAGTATTAAAACAAGGCTAAAAAGAACTTATTCCTAACGCCCTGATGCCTGTTATTAATAAGGTTCCACCCATATAAAAATTAAAAAACTAAATAATTAAAATCAAAATAATTAACTCACCTTTTCTCCAGTAAGTCTATGGCGGATTGTGAAGGCACTGCGTATGCGCACTTTACACCATAAGAGACCACCATATACCATAACCAATTCCACCATTAGTTGTTATGTTTCTTTAAGGGTCCCTTTAAAGACATAATAAATAGGGGGAAGCATGTTTCACATCTTTAGACAAGTTACCACAGTCCAGTGCTTATTGCAGCCATAATTATTCATTGTTCAATTATTACTGTTTACTGGTTGAATGTTGACTCAGTCTGTAAATATTTCCTGACATAACTGGGGTTCATCTCATAATTGAAACTCAATGTAAAGAAAATCAATGTAATTTCTAAAAATGGTAAAAGCCAGAAGGTATTGTATTTACAGTTTCCAAGAGTGCTACTAACAAAAACTGTAAAATAGGGGCCATTAATGCAGACTAGTGTCTCTGCAACTGTCTAATAATCTACTCTTTTGGTTAACCACTGACATGCATGCATATTTCCAATTATTAAAATGTTCTACAAAAAAAAAAAAAAAAAAGAATTTAAATCTACTTCAACAAACAAATTCACCTAAAAACCTGTGATATAGTAAAATTAAAAAATGAATTATTAGTAACTGTCTAAAAAGGAGACTAGGCATTGGAAACACGATCGGACTGGCATTTGGCGTCATTAAGGTCAGTGGATCTGTATGAGCAGATGCTGTTTAAAATGCTGATTCCCTATGGGGAAACATTGAATTGGCCAAAATCATCATTAGGTCATCATAATTACCCGGTTTACGGTTTGCTCCGGCTTTTCTTAGGGTGCTGAGTGCATCTTTCGGATAAGTACCAGCTCCAGTTTCACTTTTGCCTTCCTGATCAGCGCTTTCATTTGGACTTCCAGAGTGTACCGAAAGCACCAATTGGGAGGCTGCCTCTGTATTTATACCAATATGGCGCCTTGCATTATTTCCTGTTCTGACAGTGCCATGTAATCACTACAACCCTGTTCCCGCACTTTTGGGGGTCACAGGGGGGACGTGGACCAATCATTGTCCACCCCAGTGTTTAAATAAAGTTTTAGCCCCGTTGTCATTGCTCTGTTGTGGTTTCCTGTTGGGTCCATGATTTTCTGGTTGTTTGATTTTGGCTTGTTTACTGGCTCTTCTGACCTCTGTAATACTGACCTAGATAGTTATATTGTATTTCCATATTTCAGGTATCCAGATCTTGCCTAGTTTTATGTTTAGGCTGAATGTCTTATTTATGTAAAACTCAGCCATTCTAAGGTCCAGTAATACGCCCTTCCTGTCATCATATTCCTGACCAATACTTGTTGTAAGTTAGGCAGTGTAGCCGTGACACAATATTGAGGAGGAAAAGAAATATCCAGTCACACCTGAGGTTTCTTCTAAAAGGCAGTCTTTTTTTTATTTGGAACAAGAAACTGAAGACAACTTTTTGGCTACTCTCTAAACCTTTATCAAGGAAATAAGGTACGTTTAGATGCTTATTTTAGTTATTTCGGGGAGATATCGGAAGTGTTAGAGTGTTCTTTTATATCAGAAAGATATGGTGGTACTGGGGTACTAGAGCATGTAATAAAGCCAATCAGGTTTAGGAATATGTATAATGTCATTAAAAAAATAGCAGTGTAGTCTTATTCGAGTGGCTATACTACGTAATACTGGGAAGAAATGGACAGTATGCTCTAGTGCTGCTCTATAATGAAACAAACCCAATTTTTAAAATATCATGCACTATAAAAATAATGTAATCTTGATCTTTGAGATAACTATGCCACCTTGGATCTACAAATGTATAGAGAGAGGGAGAGAGACAAAGAGTGAGAGAACTCTGTCTGTCTAAGGAGAACTAAGTAGGAGTATCTTGAATGCAGAAGCAGTGTCACTAGAACAAACCGTGTCAGAAGAACAAAATGAAAATTTCAGAGGTTTAGCAAACATGGAACTGGATTAATTTGACAAAGACCTGGTTACAGGTCGAAATGTTTTTGATCCAATAAAACTTCCTTGAATATATCACAGTGAGTGTCAGATTTTTTTCTTATATGTACATTATATGGGGTATGCTGACCCATGCTCAGTCTAGCACCCTGTGTTTATTTCTGTGATTGAGTTCAACCCTCTTCATTATTTTTGATACTAGAACAAACAGTGTCAGTAGAACACATTGGAAATTTCAGAGGTTTAGCAAACATGGAACTGGATTAATTTTTGAAATCATGTTATATCCTAGCAATAGATAGGCATAAGAAATAGATCACAAAGTAGACCAGTTCTACTACATATTCTAAATTCTAAATTTAAATTTTTTTTAGACTTTAATGTGAAATTTACATAGATAACCCAACAATATGATTGCCACTGTATGCCATATTATTTCCACCCTTTATTTAAAAAGGGCCAAGATATTCTGTAGTACTGTAAATTAATTATTTGGACTGTGTAAAACACTTCCTGATCATTCTCACTAATTAACCAAGCAGATTCATCTTCGTTAACCCTCCCAACTCATGCTCTTATTAAATAAGAAAAAAATCCAGAAAGTTAAATGAAATGTGTTTTTGTTTTTTTCCCATGGATCTTCCCAAAGAAAGAGGGTGGGTGACAGTTGGATGTAAATGCACACCCTCCTCCGGGCATATCATGTTGTAATTTTGTAACAAGTATATACAGTTGTAATCAAAATTATTCAACCCCCATTGAAAATCAGGCTTATTGTCAAAATGTACAGACTTTCAGCTGTTTGCAATGAACAAATCAAACAAAAGCAATTGAAATAGCTCAACACAACGAATGTGTTCCCCCAAAATCCCCAAAAACAAGTGGTTTCCCCAAATAAACTGATAATGCAACTTATAATGACTTCACCAGTCCCAAAATTATTCAAACCCCTGAATAGAATCCCCCACAACAATACAAACATGCAAAACAGGTGTTGTCTCAAGCACACCTGATAAAACTAATCAAGGGTTTCATTAGTTGCGCCAGGTTTGCTTGAGCTGGAACACTTGAAATTGATGAACTGGCTAAGGGTTTACTGAGTGTCACATTTGACTGCATGTTAGAAATATGGCTAAGTCAAAAGAATTGTCCACAAAGTTAAGAGAAGAGATCATGGCCCTTCATAAACAAGGAACAGGATACAAAAAATAGCAAAGGCGCTGAATGTTCCTAGAAACATGCTTGCGCTATGTTTGTTGGGGTCAGTTCCCTGATGTCCCCAAAAGAGGAACACCATGGAACTAAGTTGTGATGGTTGGACAGGATCCGAAAATTGGGATCTTACTGACGAATTCGGGACAGTTGTGGGACCTGTGATCTATGTTGAGTGGAGCATATATTCACTGCAGCAAGACACAATGTCTCTTTTTGGCAGGCCCTTTTGAGAAAAAAGGAAATACCGTTTAAGCTTTACTCTGCCAACTTTACTGTTACCAGTATGGGGTAATGGGAGGAATGATGTGTGGAGTATATCTACTAGGGGCCTAGTGCAGGGAAATTCTGTAACTTACAATACATGACTTTACCTTCTACATTTGGAGGTTTGAAAGCAGTGTAAATGATCAAAGAGGAAGAGTGCTTGTGTCACAGGAAGTATCATTTTAAAAAGAGTCTGTCCGCCTGGTGCTCACATACTAAGCTGACATTTTGCCTTGGCAGTCAATCAATGTGGGGCTGCACTTGCGCAGAGCATTGTCTTAATACAATTTTGCAGTGTTGAGAGACATGAGATATCGTGGGAAATTAATGCTGGAGTAGCATAAAAAATATTGTTTTTAAATATAAAAACCTTGTACTAGTTTACATTTTGATGGAACATCCCAACACCTTAACTACTACAGCCTACTCCCTTCTTGAGTATGTTTTGACTAATTACCTGGGGTTCTGGTAGAAGCTTACTGGTTTAGCTGCAGGACTTAGGTTAGTGGAGCTAATAGAAAGATCCTTGGAGGGGTTTACTGCTATAGAAGAGGCTGTGGTGCCCTACCAACCAAACTATTCTCAGACTACCTACTCTGGTAAGGAGCCATGGTATGTGTGGCACCATAACCACTACAGTGGCTGCATTGGTTAGTGTGCGTGGAGTTATGCAAGGTACTTCAGTAACATAACTCAACAGCAATTGAGTAAATGTTTCTTTTGGTGTACTGGTTGTATACAAATTACAGGTACACAAATATTTTTTTATTCCTCCTTTTGTATATCAGAAGACTTATTCCACGTGCTCTGTTCTTGGGCTCTTACAAGAATTAAGATACTGATTATATTGTGTGTTGAGAGGAGTGCCTGCGGCACTCTTACATGTCTGCAGATTACAGCCTGAACTTTGCTTTTGCGGGGGAAGTATTTGGCAACAGAAACAAAATCTGTGGTAGAAGTGAATATTCTACAGGAGAGTTTCTTATCACTTAGAAAGTTACTCATTGATCTGGGGCCTCCGAGATATCGCCTTTATGTGATTGTATGAGCTGTGGAGACCTTTCACTTTAGTAATCAATCAATTCTGTTAAAATGACACTCCCAGCACCTGATAGAGCATCAGGCAAGCTACAAGAAGCTGCACCTTGGCTTCTGTTAACTTGTTCCTGAATACTTTAACAAATACTTTTCATGAATGAAATTACTTCCTAGTGATGAACTACACATTCCACAAATCTATGCTGCATTCCTTTTGCGAACAGTGGAGAATCTTGTTTAATGCTTTAAAAAAGTGAACAATTTCAGCTTGTAGTGTCCTTTTGAATTCAGCATGTCATGCTGAATGGTAATTTTCCATCAGCTTGCTATTTCCCATAATCCCACTACTGTAGTTTGCTTTGCAATCATGATAATGCATGTTATAATACAACATGAAAGCAAATATCAGAGAAAAGACAGTGCTTCCTTTACTGCCTAGGAACACCTCTACTGGCAGCCATTCAGATTGCCACTAGAGGTACTTGATGAGTCAGTGCTGCAGAGCATTAAGGTTCAGCGTCTCCAAGCTCTGCATGGAGGTGCTGAACGTTTCTCATAGAGATGCACTGATTCAATGCATCTCTATGAAGAGATGCTGATGGGTGCAGTGCGGCGCTTTGCTGTGAATCACACAATCACCTCCCAATGCTTTTCTATGGGAAGCATTAAATTGGCTGAGATCATCACGTTTGAGGAGACCTGCGTGGCGCTTGAAAAAAGTGAGTAAATTAAATTTCTAACCGGTGACAAGGGGGGGTCGGGTAACTAAACGGCACTATTAGAACTATAGTGACTGGAATACGCATTTGTATTCTTGACACTATATAATGTTTCTTTAAATCCATTTATTTGAATGATTTCAAGGGCAAATGAGTTTGGAAGACATATGAAAGTGTTTTATCCTTAGCACTTGAAAACAAAATACTTGTGGAGCTGCTGCAACTAAAACAGAATAGTAATCTGATTAGAATGTTAAAGGTGTTTGTGTGTGTGAAATCCTGTATGTTGTGTTATGTTTTTTACTAAAAGTCACAAAGTGACATTTAGAATAAAAAGGAAGTCATACTTGTGCAAACGTATTTTAAATTGTGCCAGACTTTTACATGCCCAAATATATTTTAAAATGTCAGGTTTTGCCTACAGGTGCGTCTGTTTTATTAATGCATGTTTGGTGCTGCAAGTGCACAATACTTTTGAATTGTTAACTGTGCTGTAACTCTGCACCCAAGTGGAGAATTGGAGAACTGCATTCACATTTTGTCCACATAGGGGAACTGTCATAACTAAGGTTTTTTTCCAAAACGCAGATTCACCAACCTGTTGCAAATTGAATCACAATAGCCAACATTTGTGAAAAAATTGTGAAAATGTTTTGCTACAGGATGCAACAATTTCCAGTGCTGAAAATGTTTTGCATCCCATTCAGTATTGGCATTTTTTTACCATTTTTACCATGGAAGGAATGCTCTTGCACGTATATGCTACTTTCTAATCAGATGCCCGAGGACACAGGATTGCGCCCAAAGCTTAATGGGACAATTGACCTGGAAGAGCTGTGGAAGTGTTTGATACATACCGCTGCACTTGTATTCGCTACAATAGTATTTACCGGGGTGAAGGAATGAACAACTGTCAAAATCAAAGAAGTGAATGTTCCTCTTTAACAGTACCTTTTATAATCACTGATATGAGTCAGACAAGTTGGAGCAGCTAAAGAGGAGTTAGTTTGTAGGAATTATTAATTGCATTCCTATGGCTGTTAGAACATCACAGGCATTTATGATAAATCACATACATTACTCACATGGCATTCAACAGAAACCCCCCCTCTGTTCCTTTCTTCAAATAATTTGGTTTTATAGTGCATACAAAGTTTGAACTATACAATGGCCAGTGCAAGGTATTTTCACTGCCTTAGGCAAAAATTTAGAAAGATGTTATTTGTCGGGTTTTTTTCCCCCTCTAATATTTTTCCTGCTTCCAGACTATCTCTTCGGTCTCTGTCACCCAAATTTCTGTCAATCAATCTATTTCTCGCTAATTTTACAACTAACCCCTCTTTCACCTTCCATGAGTTTGTTTCAGCCTAGCTCTTACAGTTTCCCCATCTCATCACCTATCTCTTTTTATATGAATGGTAGGCAATATTTCACATAAATAACTTAGACCACACAATAAACACAGACACAGCTTATTTATATTTCAATGGGCTAGGCAGTGGTGTTTATTAAAGCTTATAAGGGGGACATACCACCATAACTTGATAACGGTAACATATTCACATAAACCTTTTCACTTTACTTCCAAAAATTGTAACTTTCACCATCACTTAATTGCCAGTCAGTCATAGCTAACCTGACCACCTTTTATATGCAACCATTTAACACATATCCTTCCTCAGAACTGATGACTTTGCCCCACCGCCTCAGCTGGGGTAGAACTACCCTAGCTGAGGCCCCCACAGCCAAGTCCCTTTCTATCATATTTTGCAGATCCAGATTAAAAATATCCACACCGATATTTGACAAATGAACCTGGTCTTTACTAAACAGGCCCCGTTAATTCTGATTCAATTCTAAATGCCTTGACATTGCCAAATTCAACTTTCTACGCACTCTCTCCAGCGCTTTTAACTCTCGGTTCAATAACCATTGCAAGCGCTGGACCACCTCCGACCAAACTAGAATGGTGTAAGGAAGTAATTTTTTAAATTTCAAACAAACATTTTTAACATTACGTAATAACTGCACGGATTTAACAACACCTTTATCATTACCCATCATTTGAATTATTAAAATATCTGGAGCAGGCCAAGTCGCTGCACACTCTAATATGAGCTCCATTAATTGGTGAATTCGCAGACCACCTACACCTTTCCAATATATTGTGACATCTTCACCATTGAAGTCCAAATTCAGTCCATATATCCTTGCTCCTGCATGGCCCGTTTTACAAAGGAATGACCTACAACCCAAACATTTGTTATGATACGTGAGGAAAATAATAAGTGTGAAAGGAGGAAAACAAACATTACATCATGTCATTTCGCACATGTAACTTAAAACAATTTGACTCCCACCTCCCAATTTTTTAATAGCATCTGCTCCAAAACCTAAGTTTGCTGCTTCAGTTGCTGCCCCAATTCTGAAGGAATGAGTAGTAAATTTATAACCAAGTCTTTCAAAACATAACTGCAAAACCCTCTGAAACTGAAAACGTGTTAGAGGAGAGCCTACATAGAAATTTCACAGATTGGTTTGCTGGGCTTAGGTTGCCTTTGAGACCGTATGGCAGCCAAGAAATGTAAGTTACGCCATCATGGCATACCATTTGAAAAGGTAGACATCCCAGGGTATTCAAAATGGGTATGGCCAGTCTTTTGTAGTAGACACTTGGGCACAAATGCTAGCCAAAGTTAGTGTTATGTTTTTTTCTTTGCATTTTTCAAATAAAAACTGTACTTTTACTGATAATATTAACGCCAGTATATAGTTTACTGCCCTGAAACACTCCTAGTTCTGTCCCACCATGTATTGGTTTTATGGGGTTTTGGAAAGTTACAGGGTCAAATATACGCTTGTCCATTTTTGTTTTACACATTGAAAATTGGCAAAGCGATTTTCTGGGCCTATCTTGCCTTTGAGAGAGCATGGCAGCCTGGGTAATAACATTTCCACTATCATGGCATACCATTTTCAAAAGTAGGCAACCCAGAGTATTTCAAATGGTGCATTTCATGAAGTTTGGTCTAACCACTTTATCAGAAATGAAGGGCCCTCATAGCGGTAATAGTTTTATTTGTGCTTTTTTCCACACATGAACTCACTTTTCACAGGACATTTCCTATTCCTGATGTGAGTTATTGCAACAAAGCCTCACTATTTTTTTTTAACATTGTCTCCTGAATATAACAGTACCCCCATGTACCGGATTTTCTGTTTTTTGGGGAAGTCACAGGGACAAATATATTAGATGTCCATTTCAAAGTTGGAAATTTGACAAAGTGATTTGCTGGGCCTATGTGGCTATCTAGAGAGCATGGCAGCCTGGGTAATAACATTTCCACTGTTATGGCATACCATTTTCAAAAGTAGGCAACTCCGAGTACAACAAATGGCAGACCTTGAGATGTTTGTTCTAGCCATTTTAACAGAAATGATGGGCCCATGTAGCAATTTCTACTTTTATTTTTGTCTTTTTAATCACATAAATTGCATTTTCACTAGAAATGTCATAATCGTGGTATTAGTTAGTGCACTAAAACCTCAGTATTTTGATTTAACACGGTCTTCTCTATATAACGATACCTACATGTACAATGTTTCCAGGTTTTTAGTATATCACAGGAATAGTACAGTACCCCCAAGTACACTTTGATCTGAAGGCAGAGAGAGACAGATAGATCTTTGTCTCAGATACTGTAGCATTAACCCTGTGATTAGTTTTTTGCTTTTTTTGTGAAGGCACATTTCAAGTACTACAAATGTAGTATATTTTGAGTTGTTTGGTGTAGCCACTTTAGAATGGCTAGCGTAAACATGGACAGGCCAAGGTCAGGGGAATCCAGAAGTGAGAATAGTCGGAAAAACAAGCCAATGGGTCGGTACAGGCAGCTAACGAAGTGTAGTCAGGACAAGCCGAGGTCAGGGAATCCAGGGAAATCAAGCAAACAAACTGCCAAAGTACCATACAGAGTGATTTAGTAGTTCAGCTCTGTATGGTAGACTTTGAAACAGTCTGTTATGCAGAGGGCGGGTAGGGATGGACAGGAGGGGCAATAATAACTGGAGTCCTTTTGGACTCCTCTTTTCCAGCAAACACGGCATTTTCGTTGAGGTGACCTTTTACAGGGTGTGGGGGGGATTCGGGAAGAGAAATGTTTGCTGAAAAGTCGTTGGACATCTTCTGATTCCAAAGGAGGGTTAGGATTTGGGGTCTGGGCAAATATAATTTGAGACAAAATTTGGACCATAAACTCTAGAAATGGGCATGGTCTACCTATGGCTTCCTTTTTATAATGCACATAGGCATTGAAAATTGCAATCTGGGTTATGTAGATTGCAATTTTCTTGTACCAGGTCCTACTCTTCCGGGTCACCAGATAGGGCTGTATGCACTGATCAGCCAAGTCTACTCCCCCCATAAACTTGCTGTAGTCTACAATGCACTTCAGCTTCTCCAGCTGCTCAGTTCCACCTCTCACAGACACTGGCACTGAAGTTTCGTCGTGCATTGTAGACAACATGTACACATCTTTCCTATCGGTGAAGCGAAGGGCAAGCAACTCATCCTGGCGGAGCGCTGAAAGGGAGCCTCTACTGCGTCTACCTCTTGCCAGGGTTTGGGGGAAACCTCTACGATTCTTACGCACTGTGCCACAGGCTACGGTCTCAAAGCAAAATAGAGTTTTAAATAACTCTATGCTTGTGTAATAGTTGTCAACCCATAGCCTGTATCCCTTATTTAACAAGGGAAAGATTAGGTCCCATACTATCTTGCCACATGTACCCACAGAATCAGGGCATCCTGGTGGGTCAAGATGGCTATCCTTCCCCTGATAAATACGAAACGCCCATGTATAACCAGATTTGGATTCACACAATTTATAAAATTTTACTCCGTATCGGGACCGTTTAGAAGGGATATACTGTTTAAAAAGTAATCTGCCCTTAAATTTCATTAAGGACTCATCTATACAAATATTTTCTTCAGGGACATAATTTTGGGAGAATTTGTCTGACAGTAGTTCAATTAGGGGCCGAATTTTGTACAGCCTGTCAAACAATGGGTCGTTTCTTGGGGGGCACAGTGTGTTGTCGTTAAAGTGGAGGAAATGCAGCAGCTGCTCATAGCGATCCCTCTTCATAACCCCAGGGAAAAGAGGGGTAGCCAGGATGGGGTGCTTGTACCAGTAGGACCTGATACTTGGCTTTTTGACAATGCCCATAACTAGAGTTAGGGCCCAAAATTTGCGCATTTCTGCGAGATCCGTGGGGTGCCACATATTACGCCTATTGTAATGTGACCCCGGATTCGCAGTCAGATATTGGTTGGCAAATAAATTGGTTTGCTCAACCAATAACTGAAATACTTCCTCTGACATGAACAAATCAAAATATTTTAGGGGCTCCCAAGCATCCACCATAACAGTGATGCCAGGGGTCGCCGTAAATGGGGGAATATCTGGGACAGTCAGGTTTGGGGGCACCCAGTCTCCTTCTGGCATTGGGCTCGCTGAGCTTCCTCTTGTTGGTGGTGGTGGGGCACCATCACTAGAGGAGTCAGTCATAGCCTCAATGTCAGAGGCAGTGATAGTGTCACTGTCTTGCAGAGTGTCACTATCACTGCCTGCCAGAATGGTGTACGCCTCCTCGGCCGAGTAGCAACGTGCCATTCTAGGGGGGACTACTGAATAATTAATTCTAAAGGGAAAATTACAAAATTCCTACCTGCCTAACACCCTACTACCCACCCTCAAAAACTCACAAAAAATAAAATAAATGTACTGATCGCAGTTTAGGCTGCTGCGACCAGTACAGAAAGGGTTAATTTTTGTTTTATTTTTAGTTTTTTTAATAAAAATAACCCCCCCAAAAAGTAAACCTGATCAGAGAGCCCTCAGATCACAGTGATCACTGGTACAATACTGTACAGTAGCGATACTGTACAGTACAGTGATCACGGCAGTGGGGAAAGGGTTAAGGGTGATTTGGGTTGCTGCGGCTGACAAAGGGTCAAAAATAAAAGAAAAAAATTTTGACCCTAAAAAAATAAAAATAATAATAGTACAAAATGTATTAAAATCCCTAAACAGGCTGATCACAGTTTTAAATGCTGTGACCAGCACTGGAAAGGTAAAATTTTATTTTTTTTTTAATTTTTTTTTATTTTACACAGGTTTTTCTCCAACAGGGCTCTCCAGCAACTATCTCTCTGCCTCTCTCTCTCAGATCGAAGTGAGGTGAGGAGAGGGGCAGAGACAATGTGTCAGCCAGTGATTTAAAATCATTGGCTGACACATTGTAACAGTGATCGCAGTGACTGGCTGTCACTGCGATCACAAACTGCAAATCACTGCGGATTGGCCACAGGGGACCTGCCTGGGTTGCCAGGCAGGTCCCCCCCACCGTGATCTGCAGTTTGGGAGGGATCGAGGCAACGTGGGAGGTCCTAAACGCCACGGCGTGCTATGCCGCCGTGAAGGCGTTTAAGCCCATTAACGCCGGGACGGCATAGCACGCCGTAACGGCGTTAATGGGTTAAAGCATCAGGCAAATCTCCTAACACTGAATATGTTATGGGATGCCTAACGTCAGCAACTCGAACCCCTTTAAAATAACCTTTTAACAACTGTTTAATCACAAATGCATTCACTACTACTGGCTTACCTAAAAATATGTTACACCTGCTAAGAATCTGGAGATGGCAATTTTTTTAAGTATACCTTTGTTAATACATTGAACCACAAAAGAGAAGGCAGCTTATATATTACCACCTACTGCATCAACCCGGATTAGTTCATGGAATTTATACCATTAATTCCATGCTGACACATATGCACTCCAGGTGCCCTGTGCAAGTGCTTTCATGAAATTGCCCGGCTCTTCCCAGATTAATTGCCAAAGGCATTTTGGCAATTCCACGCTCTTTTCCTCTGCGTCCGGCACTAAACTCCTGAAAGCGCAAAGCTGAAAACGAGAAATAGCATCAGCTATCTTATTCTCAATACCTGGAATATGCATAGCCTTCACCCAAATATTCTGTTTTAAACATAACAATACTAGATTTTGCAACAAATTTATAACAAAGCAACATTTAGAATGCATGGAATTAATCACCTGTGCCACCGACTTATTGTCATAGTGGAAGAAAATCTATTTATTCTGCAGTTCTTCACCCCATACCAAAATTGCTGATACAATTGGTAACATTTCCGGCAGAGTTACATTCATGGTTAACCCTTGCTCCACCCATTTATCTGGCCACTGCGCAAAGGCCTGTTTCTTGTTCCAGAATATGCCAAAACCAACTGACCCTGCGACATCCACAAATAATTCTAAAGATTCATTATCCTGAAATTCCGTTTGCAGTAATGAACAGCCATTGTATTGTTGCAGGAATTGATCCCACACGTTTTTTTCTTAATTTCTGCAGAAATTCTTGCAAAACAGTGAACCGATTTCTTTTTTACACAAGCCAAAGCCATTCGCCTACAAAAAATTCTTCCTATAGGTGTAATACAACTTGCAAATGCTAATAGGCCCAATAACGACTGAAACTGCTTTACTGTTTCTTTTTTGCTTGCTAAAAAGAAACCGATTTTTTTTTCTCTGAGCTTAGCAATCTTTTCTGTCGACAGTTTACATTCAAAGGCAACCAAATCTATTGTTATCCCTAAGCACTGAAGACACGTCACTGGCCCCACTGTCTTCTCCACTGCTAACGGAATACAAAACCATTCAGCTAGACTGCAGAAAAACTCTAACAACATAACACATTCTGAACCGGAACTAGGATCAGTGAACAAAAAATCATTCCGATAATGTACAATAGAAAATATACCGGTTTCAACATTAACAACCCATTCCAAGAATAAAGAAATGAGTTGAAACCTTCCAGATGCACTGGCGATAGCCTAAAGGCTGACTCAATGTCCACCTTAGCCATCAGTGCACCCGGTCCAAATTCATGTACCCATCATCAAAATATGCATAGGACACTG